TAGTAAAGGGACTAACGCGATTAAGCAAGGAGCCGTATAAAATGATATCAGATATAGACTCCTGTGTTCTAAATCAGTTGCAAAGGAAACGATGAAATAGATAGTCAAGGAAATGACAAAAAATGGATAAATAGATATAAAAATAGCTTTAAATAAGATATTCATGGATTTAGAAGATTGGTGAAAATTCAATTGGTGGGAGCAATAGATAAAAACGATGAAAAAATAAGTTACGCGCTATTTTGTCCGAAGGGGAACTCATAGGTATAAGGTGGCGATGTGTAAAGAACCTTTCCTTTAAAACGAATGATGAAGAAGATTAACACACAATAAATTATCCTAATAGAAGACTGCTGCCTCAAGCATAAGCTGTAGAAGATTTTAAATCTGCGGTAGAAGATCCTAGACGAGGCTGTTTAGATTTTCATTTGGTATCGAGTTCTTCATAATGTTATACTGGGCAAGGCTCTTACAAAAAGACAACAGATACAATTTTCGCTTCACACAAATGAAAACAATATCCACACTAAACTTTGTGATATTTCCCAAAAACGATACAAAATTAAGGAAGAATCGGGAAAAGTCAAGTGTCGATAAAGCCGGGTATATGTGGAGTGAAAGAGTGCTAATCTACCCAAAAATAAATAAAAGTCATGCAGCAAAGTGATTAGAATGATGAGGTAAGTTGTGAAATAAACTTGGAGTCGATAAGACAAACGAGAGAAAGAGCAAACATATGGAAAAATGAAGGTAACTACTAATATGATGGGCATAAAATACTATTGAAGTCAATTTAATGTGTTGGAAGGAAAAAGTTTTTTGCGGCCGCATGCCTATCGTTAGGGGAAAATCCGAAAAAAAGCTAGGGGCAGGGTAACGAAGTGATGTAGAAACAGTAGCATCAGCCAAAAGCTTATCGTGTGATGATTGCGTCTCTGGCCTGCCCAGTGCCAACCCAACGAACCGGCAAACCAAAAAGTCGTTCTGCAGTCTCAACAAACCGACGAGCAGCCTCAGGCAGATCCTCGAACCGGCGCTGGTTTGCTGTCGACTTAGCTGGCCAGCCGGGGATGATCTCATAGACGACCTTGACTCCTGCCAGTACCGCCAAGTCGGCTGGAAAACCAGCCAGCTCACGCCCAGTGTCCGGATCGAGGTAGGCGCGAGCAATTTTTACCTGCCAAGCAAGATACAAACAACCAAATAATATAAAGGAAGCAGTTTAAATTTGCAATATGAAATTATTCTTCCAACAGAACAGCGTTATTCCTATTGACAACCGCATAGAAAAAGCTTAAAACGATGAATTGAGGCTCTAAACAACATCTTTACTGAATGCACGATGTGAAAATAGGAAAAAAATACATAAATGAGATTAATTTGATTACTATTAGAGATGAAAGAAAAAGTTATGGAGCCATTTTCGCGACAAATTGGATACTAAGATAAAAATTAGGCTCATGTTAATGATGATAAGATGGCCTAAGACAGTGGTTCCCAAACTTTTCAGTCGCGGCGCCATTTTTCAATTAGCATTTTTCCATGGCGCCCTACCCTAAGTATGACTATTCGTAAGCAAGAGATAAAAATAAATAAAACTCGTG